GGCAGGGAAGGGGGGGGGGCGGGGGGGGCGGGCTGGGTGGGAGGGGCAGTCGGCTGTAGGGCTGGGCTCCTGGTATCCGGCTCCTGCTCTGCATGGCTGTGCATTGTGGATGGCTGCGCATTGTGGATGGCTGCGCATTGTGGATGGCTGCAACCAAAGTGTCTCTTCTCTTCCAGGCTCCTCTTTCTTCTTCCTCTGATCCCATCCCCCTTATCACTTTCACTGATCATTACAACGTAAGCTCTTTTTGCTGGCTCTCAGCTTAGCCTGCAGCCCAGCTGTTTGGGGATTTCCCATCCTGATCTTGCTGTAAATGAGAAACTGAGCCTGGCGGACACCTCAGAGCACAGGCAGGAAGGGAGTGGAACAAGCCTTTGAGGAAAGATTCCTTTTATTTCGCCATGTTTTCACCAGCCTCGGACTCTTTTTCCCTTAAAAATGAGGCAGAACTTTTAAGTATGTACCCCAAAGAAGTAGAAACAAACTCAAATACATGTACACCCATGTTCATAGCAGCCTTATTTGCAATAGCCAAGGACGGAAACAACCTGAATGCCCACGGGTGGGTGAGTAGAGGAGCAAAATGTGACCTGTACATACAATGTATTATTGTAACACAATGTGTTATTTAGCCCTAAAAAGTCTTGAAATTCTGACATGTGCTACAGCCTGGATGGATGTTATGCAGAGTGAAATAAGCTAGCCACAAAAGGACAAGTACTGCATGATCCCACTTATACGAGGTACCCGAGGTACCCGGCATAGACAGATTCCTAGAGACAGAAGGTAGAACAATGGTTGCCAGGGACTGGGGGAGGAGGGGTGAGGGGCTGATGTTTAATGGGCACAGAGTTTCTGTTTGGGAAGATGAAAAGGTTCTGGAGGTGGATGGTGATGACAATTAATACAACCATTGTGAACATACTTAATGCCACTGAATTATACACTTAAAAATAATTATAATGCTAAGTTTTATGTCATGTATATGGGGCATGAGTGACTGAACTTTCAGCCTCATAGCTGAAGAGGTAGACAATGAGGATAGCACTTTGTTCCTCCCCTTCTTTCCCCCTCTTCTCTTATAAAGAGATAAAACTGGGCTTTTCTGTTGAAGGAGGGGCTTCTTGGCTCCCTGGTTGGGACTCATTCTAGAACATACAACTGAGCCCCAGTGACAAATTAGCCTGGTTTCCCCTTGGAAAGCAGAGTTCATGGAAGCACCCCAGGGGGCAGTGACACAACAGCAGTAGAGCCAGACCAGACAGAGGTATATGGATCTGGTCACCACAGTGGGCAGCTGGGGCTCAATCCACTGGGACGTGCTGAGGGACTGTGTCCATAGAACCTCAGAATTCAGAGGGAGTGCTAGCTCCTCTCACTTCTAGGGTACAGGAACTGGGTGCCAGGTGAGTTCTTGCAGGTATCTGCAGACATGTGTCAGTGGAGCCCTGGGCAGAAGGTGCTTAGGGCATCAGAGGTAAGGTACTGTCAGGCTACACTGTGTGAAGCTGATTGGACAGCAATGACTGGAGTAGGAGGGGGGCCAAGAGGATGTGAGGACACAGGAAGTGTCCAAGACAAGTGACCAGTGAGGGAGAGTCCTCTTTTTTTCCTCTGGGCACCAAAATTCTACAGGGTGGGAATGGGTCTCAATGCTTATCTCTTTCCTTGATGAGCCAGTGTGGGTTTGGGGCTCCCTTACAGGACTCTGATGTGGCCCCATGAAAGGCCCATGAGAGCCTAGGAGAGCCAGTAGGGCAGGACAGAGGCTGCTACTGGAGGCAGAGCCAGACACTTGATCCTCCTGCAAAATTCCATCTGTACCGTGAAGGGTGCCAGGAAGCCCTAGATAAGATCTAAAGTCTTCCAGGAATAATAGGTGTGTCCTTAGGCACTGGCTTTTCCTGCGTACTGGCTTTTCCTGCGGGCGGCTCCTTTTCATCACTCCTGACATTAACCTCATCATGCCATCCCACTGAGGCCGGCAGCTAGGCACAGGCCCAGCCCTCCAGAGCACAAAGCCCCATTGCAGAGTAAGTAGCACACACAGAGCACTTGAAGAATTCACTGCTAGTTGGAGGGGCAGTGGGGAGTGGAGGAGTGGGAGATGTCCTGAGGACCTGAGCAGGCCGCCAGGAGGTGGGATGAAGAGGCAGTGGCCATATAGGTGGACATGGAGCTCTGCTGTGCTAACTTGGGCAAGTTACTTAAACCTCACTGAATCTCAGTTTTCTAAATAGTATAATTATGCCGATTTCGTAGAGGTGGTGTGGGTGATGAGTGGGTGAAGGCATGCAGAACAAGTGCTGAAAAGAGTGCCTGGTACCTGACAGGCGCAGTTCACGTTAGCTGCTCTTGTTATTCGTGGAAGTTGCAGTGTTCATGCCCAGAGGCCAAGGCTGGGTGAGTTCTCTGCCCACTAGCCGCCGTTAAACCCAGAGATTGGGCTAGTTGCCAGATGGCCTCTAAGACACTGTTCTGGCATTACGTGAGTGTAAGGACCTCTAGATTTGGTGGATGGATGGGGAAAAGTGCCTTGGAGTGAAACGCACAGTGTGAGCAAATGCAGAGGCAGAAAGAGCATTGCTTGTTAGTTTTCTACTGCTGCGTAACACATTACTACCAACTTAGTGGGTTACAGCAATACCTGTGTATTAATTATCTCCCAGTTCTGGAAATCAGAATCCTGCTCAGTATATCACAGGGCTGAAATTAAGGTATTGCCAGGCTGAGTTCTCGTCTGAAGGCTCTGGAGGACAAAGTCTGCTCCCAAGCTGATTGGTTTTTGGCGGGATTTACTTCCTTGCGGTTGTAGGGCTGAGGCGCCCTTTTCCTTGCAGTCAGTGGCCAGGGATTGTTCTCAACTCCTAGAAGCATTTCCTGTCACGTGACCCCTCCTTCTTCAAGCCAGCAACAGTGCATTCAGTCTTTCTTGTGCTTTGAATCTCTGTCTCTACCTCCAACCCCAGATTTAAGGAGCTCACGCGATGGATCAGGCCCTCTTGAATAGTCTCCTTATCTTAAAGGCCACTGACTTGGAATTTAGCTATATTTGCAAAATCCCTTTCCAGGAGTACCTAGGTTAGTGTTTGATGGAGTAATTGGGAGAAGATGTACACCCAGGACCCTCTGATGGTTCTGCCTACCACACATGGCATGTGCCTGGTGCAAAGAACATAGTAGACGGGGCTGGTGGGTGACATGGACAGCCACTGGAGCAGGAGGGGTAAAATGGGTGTTGGTGGTGGGAGAGCTATAAGGCCACTGTAGGCCTTGAATGGCAGGCGAGGGAAGGGGCATTGGACATCCCCACCCCGACCTCTGGCCCTACACCAGTAGGCATGCTTATTCCAATGTGAGCTGATTTCCTTCAGTCTCACTGCCACCTAAGCCTCCACCCCTGTGTTCCCTCACTCTGATGAGGGTTCCCGGGCCTGAAACTTTGGACTGCTCCCTCTGGAATGGGAAGACAGACTCATGAGCTGAGTTTAGGAACCCAGAGCAAACTCCCTACAGCTCCCTTGCAGCTGACCTGCGGTCCAAGGGAGGCTAGGCCCCTGGCAGAAGCCAAAAACCAAGAACTGAGTCAGGAAACCGGTTGAAGAAGGTGTGTGTCCACCAGGGCAGTTCTTCCTTCCATCAGCAGTCCAACCTCTAAGGAGGCTGGCAACGATGGGGGAGTCAGCATTTGTGATCTCAGCAGCATTTGTGGAACCCAGCGGCCATTCCTTGCCCTGCTTTGGATCTATTAATTAAAAACTCAATAAACCCTTGATCATTGGTGAATGTATTCTAAAAAAGTTATCAGTAAACCAAGGTTTTGAAATTCAGATGTTCCTTGAAACATACTAGGACCTCATCTTCATGATCAACAGTCACAGCCTAGGCACACGCAGCCCTTCATGGTCTTGGAGCTCTGTGCATACATTCGGGTTTTCTTTGTGTATCCAATGGTGGTGATTTGGCAGACGACCATTCTGCTAGTTCTGATGGTAAAACCCTGTGCAGGCTCTGCTTCCTCTAGCTGAGTGGACTTTCCCCAGAGAGCAGCAATCTCCAGACAAGCTTGAAAGCCCCTTCCCATCTGCCTTAGAGCCTGTGAGGAAAAGGGGGAGGGTCCCTGGTGGGAAGGGACCTAGAGGTGAGAAAGGCTCTAACTCTCCCCACTTCCAGGTGGGTCAGGTGGGAGCTTCAGGGACAGGGGTGTGGGGGAGGGCGGTGGAGGTGTCCCAGCAGGCCTGGGCCCCTATGGCAGCTGGGTGCACCCAGTCCGGTCAGAAGGGAACAGCATTCTGTTGTTGGACTTAAGTATCCCTGGCATGCTGGTCACACACTCTGCCGGACTGCACCAGCACGAAGGCCGTGAGGGCTAACGAGGAAGCTGTACTCCTGTGCAGGGTGGCCAGGCAGTCTCCGTGCCTCGGCCACGCCCTCCCAAACATCCCAGCAGGCCTTTCACGTTCTGTCATTAAAAGTGAGTCACACTCCTACAGACCGAGCGTAGCAGCATGTGTCCCAGTAGCCATACCATCACGTGGCTGCAAAATCATGCTTATAACTTAAGGCCTACAGGCTTTAAGCTAATTTAGGGAAAGTCTGGTGTCCAAAGAAAAGACCTCTCCTTAGAAGGAGGCATTTCCTGGCGGGATTTGTATCTGGGGACCCCCTATACATCCCAGTGCTGGGGTCAGGGACATCAAAGCCTGCAGTCTGTTTTATTCTGTTTTGTGGTAGATTTTGTTAACTCCAAGTTGGGAAATGGGGCCTGGGTATAGGCTAGGTCCTGTCTTTTGCATTTTCCCAGGTTTTAGGGTCTAGGTATGGAGTAATATCTGACATGGTACAAGTTACTGTGTTGGCCAGTTAGGCCAGTTATTTGCCTTCTCTGAGCCTCAGTTTCCCTCTCCATAGAGGGGAATTGCAGCATATTCTTCACACTAATGGGGTGTCACCCTGCCTCCAGCTTTGTCTCACAGAGCCTTGTTCTTTCTCTCCCGCAGTCCGACCCAGCCCCCTGAGCTGGAGGGATGGAGAACTCCTCAGCGGCGTCGGCCTCCTCCGAGGCTGGGAGCAGCCGCTCCCAGGAGATTGAGGAGCTAGAGCGATTTATCGACAGCTATGTGCTTGAATACCAGGTGCAGGGGCTGCTGGCGGACAAGACAGAGGGCGATGGCGATGGCGAGAGCGAGAAGACACAGTCCCACATCTCCCAGGTGAGCGCTGGCCCGGGGAGGGGAAGGGAGAGAGAGCCCAGGTCCTGGGCAGGTACGGGGCCTGGGCACACTCAGAGAGAGCCATAAGGGGACCCTAATTCCAGGCAGGAAGCCCCTCTCAGCCCCTCTGAGCCATGTCTACGCCATCCTACCTCACTGGGCAGCTGGGGCCCAGCCAGATGCACAATTCATTGAACACACATTTACTGAGTACCTACCATGTGCTATACACTATTTATTCCCTGCCCTCCACAAGCTGTGTTATGGAAGAGATCTGGAGATTGTAGCTTATCCGACATGCACACAGTCAAAAGCTGTAGCTTGTGAATATTTTCTCTGATTTCAAATACATGCATTTGTTGGCAGCCAGAGAATTGAGTCTCTTAGGCAGTCCCCCAGGGCCCTGTGTCAGACCTAGTTGGGCACATGAGGCCTTCTGACCTGGATCTCACCCCCTCCTGGGTCAGTCTTCAGCAGCCCTGGCCTTGGGTGGAAGTCTCAAGTTCTCCCGAATAAAGTGAGCCATTCAGAGAGGCAACCATATTGTGTGCACCTTTGCCTACCACCCGAAATCTTCAGTAGATATTTGTTCAAGAGTTGGTTCCAGATTTGCTTCTAGCTGCCTGCGTGACCTTGAGCAAATCCCTCAACTTCTCTGAGGCTTGGTTTTCGTATCTGGCCAATGAAGATGATTCTGCTCCCTCAGGAATGTTGGAAGGTCAAAGGTGATAAGGGGTTCAAAGCTATAGAGAAGCAGGGTGTTGCCTGCATAAGGAGACACGGGAGGGTCTCCTCCGTTCAGGTGTGTACGGCTTGTACTTGTTGTCCCACCTTAAGCCCAGAATTCCTCTGACAAGAAGAGGGGAGCCACTGGGTGCTCTGCTTTGGAGAAAATCTGAATGCAGCTGGCTGGGTGGGCAGAAGATCAGACCCTCCAACTTTTTAGAAAGCCAGAATGAACCTATGGCTTTCCTGGAACTTGAGCCCAGGAGTCAACGTGGGAAATTCTAAAGCCATGGTGGTCTATACCTCATCCCACTGGGGGATAAGGAAGAGAAAGTCAGCCCTGAGAGAGAAATGGAAATATATATGATGCTTCCCTTAGTGTCCTCAAAGTTCTAGAATCACAGTTAGTATAAGTGTGTAATTTGTCCAGTGTTCACTCTCCAAGGCATATTAAGCAGCTGCCCTGTGGCTGGCACTGTTCTCGGATTCGGTATCCGAGAGTGAGCAAAACAGACACGCACTCTGCCCTCGTGGGACTTCTGCTTAGTGGGGGATGATAATTGTGGTGAAAAAAAAAATAAAGCAAGAAAATGGAATGGGGACTGGTAAGGGTCAGGAAAGGTTTGCAATTTTAAATAGGATGTCAGGGAAGGTGTCACTGAGGAGGTGGAGAAGGGGAGCCGTACAGATATCTGGGGGAGGAGTGGTCCAGGCAGAGGGAATGGCACACACAAAGGCCCTAGCTGGAAGGGTCTTCCAGGCACAATAGGAAGGCCAGTGTGGTTGCAGCAGAGACAGGAAGAGGGAGAGCTAGAGGAGATGAATCAGGGGGACACCTAGGCCAGATGAGCCAGGGCTGAACCCTGGGACCTGCCAACATTTAGAAATCAGGGGTGTGCGGAAGAACCAGTAAGAGACCAGGGGGGAGTTGGCAGGAAGGCAGGAGGGAAACAGGTGAGGGAGAGCTTTTTCTAATTTGCTTTTCTCATTGAGGCGTGTGTGTGTTGGGGCAGAGGGTGTTGACCGTGTTGACTGCTGCTACAGTTCATGGAAAAGGAGGACTGAGAATAACCTGATAGAGCCGTAGGAGCTGCTGGTGACTCTGGCTAGAGAGCTGACAGTCGAGTGTTGGGGGTAAAGTTCAAGGAGACCATTGGAAGATAATACAAATCCTCTCTGTATTACAGGAGTTTCATTGAAAAGGGGAGAGACATATGGTATTTGGGGAAGTGGGGTCAAAATGAGAGCATTTACAACATGTTGTGCATTGGTGAGAGTGGTCCAGAGCAAAGGGGATGGTTGCTGGAGCAATGGCCTTGAATAGGTAAGAGGGCTTGACCTTGGGTGAGCCCCAGCAGCTCGCCCACCATCATAGGAGGAAGTAGCCAGGCTCGCAGCCACGCATCCCGAATGGCGCCCTCTTGTGCAGCACAGCTGTGGCTTTTTCCAGCTGCTTTCAGCCATAGTAGTGCAAGTGCAGAGTTATGAAGGTGAATTTAACCAGGATTGAGTTTTCTCTGGGTGGGATAGATGAAGGAGTGATGACAGTGATATCCCCTGATCCTGAGCCAGGCAACGGGGGGAGTGGGGACCCAAAGTTGGTGGCAGATGCTGAAGGGTGGTCAGTCAATGGATCGGAGGTCCTGCGGAGTCCGAGAACTGTCAGAGTCCTGGAAAGGAAGTAAGACGGGTAGATAGGAGTGTCCAAGAGCAGGATGTTTGAAACCTAGGGTAGAGGTTTCTTTTATTGCACAGAAATTGGCAATAAAAGAGCCTCGCGTGAGTGTGGGAGTGTGTGGGGTAGAGGGAAGATCAGAAGGAGAGCGGTCCTGGAACTGAGAAGCGGGGCACGGGAGCCAGCTGCATGGGTATCGAAATCACCCAGAAAGGGAAAATGGGTGCTGAAGAAGGTGGCAGCGACCCAGAGAAGCCTTCAGAAAGTGCGGGGAGCGAGGAGAAGGTGAATGACTCGGGGTCTGCAGGTGACGGCAAGGAGGTGGGGGGGGGGTCTTGTCTGATGACATGTTAATTTATTGGCATAGCTTTGTTTCTTAATTTAAATTACTGATGGTACGGTTAACAATATCATGAGCTGGAGTGGAAGGGGGAGAGCCGCCAGACTGGATTGGAAAATTTCTGAGGGACATGAACCTCTTGGGGTTGTCCAGGGCAGGAAGGGGAGGAACTGGGTGCAGCGATTCTTGCAGCCTTCCGCAAACACCCCAGAGCTGACTTTCCCAGGAGCGGGCCTCAGGGATGGGTGCACGGGGCTGGCCTGGCGTGTGCTGCCTGCCTCCCCCACTGTCTGGACTCTAGGGGACTCCAGCAGGGCAGTTTTCATGGCTCCTTTAAGTGAAATGGGCTTTTACAAGAGGAGGGGTCAAAGAAGCCATGAAGCTTCACCCCAGAGGAATGCTTTGTGAATGGCAGAATTTCTGTTCCCAGAGCAGCCATGGGGGAGATAATTTTGGAAGGAGGGACCTGTCGCCCAGCACTTCTGACTTACCTATGGTGACTGCTAAGTTCTCAGCACGTAAAGCATGAGAAGAGTGCCCTCAGGCTGGGCCCTGCACTGCTGGCTCCTGCTTCTAGGATATGTTGGGCCTGACCATACTCCAATCTCTCTACATCTGGAGGGGTTTTTAAGCAGATGTCTGTTGTGAGGCATTGTGGAAAACATGGCCACTTGTAACATCTGGATGCGTTCCTTAAACTTGCCGCATTCTTTTAAATTCCCTGGAAGAATGCAAACACCGAGCGGGATTCAGGGTCCACCTGTGTGTTATTGGCCAGGGAGGGACAGTTCTATCTTGATCCCGCCCCCTCCCTCCCCTACATGTGCCCACAGACACAGCTGGGGTACAGACTCCAGGGGAGGGCGCAGCTGTGGACGACTGAGCAAGATCAGGGTTAGAAGTGTCTACATAACATATTTCTATTGACACAGCCTTATGAGAAATCTTTTTGCTAAATCACTTTTGATTATTTTTATTTGATCCAATGACTATTTTAAATGAAAGCCAAAAACAAAGAACAAAAATAACCTCAAAGAATGTGCTAGTCTGCCTGTCTGCGGTAGTGTTTTAATGTTTCTGGGAGAGGAAAATTCTTAAGAATCTTGGAAACCTTGAGAAACCTTGAGGGAGTAGAGAGGAATGTTGTTCTTCAGTTGGTGAGGTCATTTTTTTAAGATCTGAGAGACGACAGACAGTTGACACTCCAGAAGAAAATATCATGGTACTTGTACAGTTATGTTTTTCCGCTGCCCCTCCCCCAGCAACAGCTGGAAAGATGGAGGGAGGGAGGGAGGAATGGAGGGAGGGAGGAAAGGAGGCATGAGAAGGAAGGGAGGAAGAAAAGAAGAAAAGAAGGAAGGAAAAGAGAAGGATAGGAAGGGGAGAGAGAAGGAAACAAGTGAAGGAAGAAAGAAAGAGCAAGTGAGATCCCTTTTCTTTAGATGAATAACCAAGAGAATGTGTGTTCTAAGTTCTCAAACACTTACGGGATACCATATTTAAAATGACCACGCACGCACCCCCGACGCTCACACTTCAAAAGTGCCTGCCCTCCGATGGATTCCACGTCCCTGAGGCACATCCTAAAAGTGGTCCTCACACTGTGCTTGGCATGGGGGTATTATATTCCTATTCTGCAGAAGAAAAGACAGACACAGAGATGGGAAACAGCCCAACTGCACTGCCGGGTGGCAGCTGAGCGGAGCCCCGCTGCTCACCCCTTCCCCACCTACTTTTGGTTCCTTGAGAGCTATAGGCTTTGGGGTGGTTAATATATCCACCTACCACCCCACCCCACCCCCACCATAGAATGAGAATTAGGATTCCAAATCTCATTGACTATTAACCTTTTGTAGAAGAGACTGACATGTTGTAAGTGGGGGAAGTTTGACACTTCTGATGTGAGTGGTGCGTCTTGTGGATCATCACCAGGCTTTAAAGCAATGTTCACAACTCTGTCTGCACAGTGGAATCATCGGGGAGCTTGGACTGGCCCCCACCTCAGAGCTCAGTTGAATGGGGAAGGACCTGGGCATGGCATTCAGCCCTCATGTGACTCTGATGTCCTGCTGGGTTGACAGCCACAGCCACAGGTGGGGCATGTCCGTCTCCCTTCCCCACCCCTCATGCCAGCTATTCCATTCTCTTGGAAGGAGAGAATGAATAGTCTAAAGAGCATATATTTAATGAAGGCATATTTTCTAATAAACTCTGGTTAACAGGTCGAATGAAGAGCCAGTGAGGATGAAGATAACTTCCTATAGTCCTTTTTGATGCTGTCAGGCACTTAGAAGTCCTGGGTTTTGTTTCAGATGCAAAGTGAACTTTCAGAGAGCGCTGCAAGCATGCAGATATGTAGGCTGGAGGAAGAGTGTTCAGGTTGGCATGATGTCTCTTTCTCACAGTGTTTTTCTTTCTCTTTTTCTTCACGTTTCCTTTCATTCTGTCTTTCCCGTTCACTGTTCCCTCCTCCCTCTGGTATGTCGTTCCTTCATTTCCTCCTGCCCTCTGAATCCCTTTTCCCTGCCATCTTTGCTCATAGGAGGAAGCCCTCAATGGTGGACCACCCATGAAAGGATTAACAGAAGAAGTGAGTTTAAGGGAACCTCTGGGGTGGTTGAGCATGGGGGACTCGTTTTATTTTTCCCCTCATTTTAAAAAATAATTTATTTTTACTTACACAAGTGGTATATGCATACATGTTCATGGTACATAAGAATTCATATATCAGTAAAATCTCCCTTATCAACTGCCTCATTCCCATGCCTTACCCTACCTCCCATCGGATCGGTCAGTTCACTTTCTTACCTTTTTAAATGCTTTAACAACATATATATAATATGACTTATAGGAATATATTATTTCAAAATCATAAATCATAGCCAGCGAATATGTTGTTCAATAACTGGCATTTTCACCTAGATGTTTATCCTGGGGAGTCCTCCAGGCTCAAACACCTGCTCGGTTTAATAGCTGCCCACAGTGTGGATGTCCCATATTTTAACCACTCACCTATTGATGGGCATTCAGGTTACTTCCAAATTTTTTCCTAGAAATACAAGGTACTTCAGTGAATACTGTTGAATGTGCCTCCTCCTACACATAAAAAAGTACGTCTTCAGGTAGATACTGAGATATAGAATCGATTTCAATAGCTGTTGCCAGATTGCTCTCCGAAGCGATTTCCATTATTCATACTACCACCAGTTGTAACGGGACAGATTATCTGTTGTCATTTTAATTTGTATTTTCTTGATTTCTAGTGAGGCTGAGCTTTTTAAAATCTGATTACCAGTCATTTTTAAAATAGGTTAAAATTTTATTTTACCTTCAAAGCAACTATTGGAAAAACACACAATCAGAATACAGAGTAAGAAGTCTACCATGATTTTATGACAGAAACTAATGTAATTTTTGTGTATAGTTTTTTTCTTTATACCTTTTACAAAGTTGAGCTTCTGACATACATGTAGCTTTTTAGCTCGCTCGTTTGTCTCGCATAGTCTAGACATTGTTTGGTGGTTCTGGTGTAAAGCATAATTGTTTAAATCTGCCCCTTTTCTGCCAGTTACTGTTGGCTAAATAGTGAAGTATAATTAGAGCTAACATGTTTTCCTTCGGGCCATGTTCTGGGCTCTTGGACAAAGTCATGAACAGGATGGACCGTAACCGCTCTCCTCCTAGCCCTTACTTTCTGGTGAGAAATGACAGACGGTAGACAAAGACGGAACTAGGATGTTAGAAGGAGACACACGTGTGAGGCCGTAAGGGGCAGGAGTGCTGGGCTGTCCTGGAAGGCTTTCTTAGAACAGGAATTTTGAGCAAAGGTTTGAAGAAGGTAGGAGAGTGAGGCCACTTGGGAATGAGTATTCCAGGCAGAGGGAACGTCAGAGGCAGAGGGAATGTCAAAGGCAGAGCTCTGGTGCGGGAGCGTGCCCGGCTTTGAGGAAGAGCTTTGGAGCTGGTCTGGTGGGAGCAAAGTTAAGCAAGGGGGATGCTGTGGAAGAGCCAAATCTGCAAGGCCTCGTTGGCTCTGTTGAGGACTCTGCAAGATTTTGAGACAGGGAGACATGGAGGGTTTTGAGCAGAGCAGGGACATGGTATGACTGGCTAAAGAGGATCACTCTGGATGCGTGTGATGAATAGACTCTGGCGAGGGCCCAAAGGTGGGTGAGGGTGGGAGTGGGGGGATGGGCAGGGAAGGAAGCAGGGAGATCAGGAAGCTGTTTAGTTGGTCCAGGTGAGAGGTGATGGTGGCTTACAGCAGTGTGGTCACTGTGGAGGTGATAAGAAGTGATCAGATTATCGTTATACTTTGAAGGTACAAATGACATGATTTTCTAATGAATGACCCTGAGGATTTTAGCCTGAGCATATGAAAGATAAATTTTCCAGAAATGAAATATGGAAGAACAGCTTTGGGGAGCAAAGGTCAAGAGTTCAGTTTTAGGGCATGAAAGATGTAAGAGAGCATTAGATATCTTGGTGGAGATGTTGATCAAGAAGTCAGATATGCAAAGGTGGTGTTCAGAGGTGCGAAATGACCTGGACATTTACATTTGCAAATGATGGCATATGGATGGCATTTTAAGCCAGGGAGTGAGGAAGCTTAGAGAAGAGGGTCCAAGATTGGTCCCTAAGTTAGGAAGCTGAGGAGATGTGGAGAAGCAAACAAAGAAACAGAGGTATGTCGATGTTAACTCATTTATTCTTCATAAAAATTCCATGAAAAAGATGCTATTATTGTTGCCAATTTACAAGGTAGGAAACTGAGGCACAGAGAGGTTGAATAAGCTGCTGCTCAAGTTCAGCAAGCAAATATGTGGCCAGGCTGAACTTTGAACCAGGTGGTCTCCAGTTGTCATACACTTAGTCTCTCTGCTATTGGTAGTTTCGGTTATTATTTCAGGTGAGGGAAACTGAGTCCTAGGGATGAAGTGACTTCCTCAAAGTCATAGAGTAAGTGATGGAATAGGCACAGGAACTTACGATTCTCTGCTTCGAAAATGTCAGCTCCTAATTACTATGTTACACTGCCTCTCCGACAGGAAAGTCGTTTGTTGATTTTTTAAGATAGAAGCAAGAAACCTTTCTCCCTTTCTCAGATCTCAGCCTTTGGGCAGCATCCCCTGCCCCTTACACATAAGGCTTTCCTTAACCATGCTGTGCTTCGAATTCTATATTTGCAAAGTAGGGATAATAAACGTGCCTAGGTATCTATGAGGAGTTAATGTTAGTGTATACACTGGAGTTAGAGCGGTGCCTAGATTTAAATAAGGTCTTTATATATTCTGGCGGTTAATCCTTTGATATACATGTTGCAAGTAGCCTCTCACTTGTCTTTAAGTTTGTTCATGACTTCTTTTGTCACACAGAAGTTTTACTTTGATGTTTAAAACTTGTTTCTTGGGTTTTAATCAACTCGGAATGTGTTGTCCATGGATAGTGTGAGGCAGACATGTAGGGTCATTTTGTCCTCATCTGCTAGCCAGTTGTCTCAGTTGGTATGTTTATTGATGGTTTCTCTTTCTCTTTAATTTGAACCACTATCCTTATCATATACTAAGCTCCCGTTTATACATCTGTTTATGAATGCAGTTTTAGCAGTGGTTGGTCTTGTGCTGATTCAGCATGCTGGTTTGGCTCTGACCACATAATACAGTTTGATATCTGGAAGGGCAAGTCCCTGGAGGGACCTAGAGACCATTGGAAAGTGGAATGGTTTGTTTTTAGCACCTTTGGCCTCCCCCACTCCAGGCTTTTCCCTTCCACTCCCCCTCCCCAGTGTGCAGTGTCTTCCCCTGCCCTTCACCAAATCTGGACCTAAAATACTGTCCATCCGAGGTGCAAATGACTGATAATGGATTCAGTTCTTTTTAGTGTGAAATATTTCAAATGTACCTATAAGAGCAAAGAATAAAAGAATAGCCATCTACTGATGAGTACAGAATAAACATCTGTACTCCTAGTTATGGAAGCTTCACTCTGCGCCATCTCTGTTTCAGCTTTCCAAATTAAATAAATTATGAGATATGATGCAGGCCTCAAACCATGCGAGTTCTATATTCGTTTTTCCCATATATAAAAATGCCCTACTTTTCCTGCCTATTTCTGTTCTATGACCTTTTTCAGGCAAACGACACCTTTACCCACCAGAGGACTTGCTCCTAGCTTTAAACTGGTTTACCTTGAAGGAGAAACTCTCTAGGTGTAGGACTCAGGCACGGGGCGGGATGGTGGAGAGGGCCCCTCTCTCCATCTTGGAATCATCTATGTGGATAAGGACCAGTTTGGGAAGGTCTATGTCTGGAGATTTTTCTAAGAAGAAAGAAGACAACTTTGAGAACAGAGTCCCAGCAGCTGCTGGGAACAGCTTTGGAATAGGGAGAGTCCACAGGGGGCTTTAGTACCCAGAAGAAACCCTCTTCCCAGTGGAAGTGCTTCAAGCAACAGCAGAGGCGAGGATGTCCCTGGGACGTGTTGCTTGGCTTAGAAGTTGGAGGTGGGATGCCACCCAGGCCCAGTGGGTACAGCCTTCTGGGATAAGTGAGGTGACTCACACTAAATTGCTCCCTCAAAGGTCAGGAAAGCTATACATAGTTGGACCACATTCCCACCTCTAAAAACTTTGCCTGGGGATCCTGTCTGTACCCAGCCCTGGAGGGGTCTCTGGGGTGGGTTTCTATGGACTTGACCATCTTACTTTCCTTCATGCATCAGCCCATGGCTCACTGCCTGTGGGTACCACACTCTCAGATCCACTTCCTCCCATCTCTGCCTCCACTACCAGTGGAAACCTGAATATTGGACTCTGGCTTAGCTTTCTGACCTGCTCCCCTGGGCCATCAGGCTCCCTAACAGGGTCACCTTCCTCTCCTGACCCTGTCTACCCAGGAAAAGTCTCTGACTCCTTAGCCAGAAAGTCACGCTTGCCATGATCTGCCCCTAAGCTGGCCAGCGATTCACGCTTGGGCTCGCTTTTTCTCCAGGAATGCTGGCTTGCCCATTTTCTGTCCCTGCACCCCTGCTGAGAGCACACTTCCTTATCTCAGCCCAGCCCTCCACTTCTCCTTGGACATCTCACCTCTCCTGTGAAGGGATGCGCCTGTTACAGGTCCCACACGGAAGGCCCTCAAGAAATGGCTTCTAGTTGGTGGATATAAAGTTAAGAATAAGTTTGACAAAGCAGAGCGGTCTCATCGGAGCTTAGAACTGCTCCTGGGGAGGGATGAAGTTGTATATGGCTGTGCATGAAGCTTTGGCCCCCTCTGTGCAATGCTTGTCTAGAGGAGCCATCGAAGCTCCCAGCCCTGCCCTGCCAGGGACCATGCTGACCCCAGGAGGGTCACTGTCCTGTGGGGTGTCACATCAGCACCATGAAGCTGGGGTTGAAGTGTTTGGGCTCTCCTAGGATGGGGCCGTGCATGATCTAGTCTTCTCCGTGGCCAGCAGTCATTGTGTGCCTTGTCCATCCCCAGCCCTGTCAGCCAGGCTCCCAGGAAAGGAGAAACCACTTAAGTATATAAAGCAAATAGATTGTTTTCACAGCAGTTTAAACATTTTATGTACACACACATATGTGTATATTGTTCAAAAAATAGGCATGCATACATGTATGTATGTGTTACTTTTTATTTTGAAATTATTTTAGACTTATAGCAAAGGCGCAAAAATAGAACAGGGTGTTCCTATGCACCCATCACCCAGATTCCCCTAATGTGAACACCTTACATAACCACAGTACAATGATCAGAACTAAGAAATTAACATTGGTACAAAGGGACTTTATTCAGGCTTTTACCAGTTTTCCCACTAATGTCCTTTCTCTGTTCGAAGATCCAAGTTTGCATCAAATTGTCATCTCCTTATTCTCCAATCTGTGACATTTTCTTGGTCTTTTCTTGTCTTCCATGACCTGGACACTTTTGAAGAATACTGGTCACTTTTTGTGTAAAGTTTATCAATTCGGGTTGCCTGGTGTTTTCTCATGATTGGATTGAGGTTAGGTATTTTGGGCAAGAACACCTCTTGCCAAAGTGATGTGCCCTTCTCAGCGTATCATACTGGGCAGTCCATGATTATATGTTTTATTACGGGCAGTGTTATCCTCGGTCACTTTGTTAAAGTGGCATCTCATGGATTTCTCATTTTTCCCTTTTTCTAACCCTATAATTAATAAATATCTCGAGGAAATGCTTTGAAACCGCAAATATCCAGACAGAGGGAATTTAATCCAGGGAGTTGGTTACCCAGATGATAAAAGAGCCAAGAAGCTAAACAACCCAGAGATGAGCAACTCCAGGAAGCCATCGCCACCTCCAGACCTGAGGCACAAGGGGAGGGGGAATGGTGTTGCCGGAGCCAGGGTTCAGGGTCATGCGCAGAAGGCCTGTCTGGTGAGGACAGGAGCTATGAAGGAGACCGCATCACTGCTGGTAATGCCACCTGAAGCAGAGAAAAAGAGGAGAAAAACCGCCCGGGCTTCCCCCCTTTTTACTTTCTCCCATTGGCTGAACCCAGCTAACGCAGGGGCCTGGGAGTCGCAGTCTGCAGGGGTCAGCCCCTCTCCCAAGCCGAGCAGGGATGGGCAAAGTGGATGGGAAGGCTGGGACTCACCCAGGACCGGTACGCTGTCCAATAGCCACTCGCCACATGTGGCTCTCTAGCACTTGAAATGTGGCTGGTCCAAATTAACATAGGCTCTAAGTGGATTTCAGAAATTTAGTATGGAAAGAAGAATGTAAAATATCTCATGAATAATGTTTATGTTAATTACCTATCTAAGTGATAATATTTTAAATATATTAAGATGAATAAAATATATTAAATTTAATTCGACCTTTTAAAAATGTGGCTACTGCATCATTTAAAATTATATCTGTGGCTCTTATTGTGGTTGCCGTTCTATTCCAGCTGGACAGCACTGCTTTAGAGTATACTCATACTGGCCTGTGTCATCTGCATTGTAATAAAACATCTTTCCTATACAAAGGTCATGTCCTTGGCCCACAGTCAGGAGGGCGTGTCCAGCCAAGGTTTTACAAAAGCAGGACTGCACTGGCCTTGAGCCATCCACACTCACTCGCAGTTTTGGCCAAGTGTGTTAAACAGAGAGATTGGGCTCCTCTGCTCTTCTTTTATCACATAGGGTATAGGTCAAGGTTGACATTCAACAACATTAGTTTGTGCAGATAGCTGACATTTAACGCAATGATGAAAATACCACCATAGAGCTAGATAGCACCTTACAAAGGAAGGGCTACACTATTACTATTGCTTCATATCTCTAGAGTGTTTTTATGGTTTACAAAGGTTCTTACCTCACCCTTACAGAGTCACCAGTCTTGCTGTCCCCATTTTATAGATGACAAAATAAAGCTTGGGAAGTCACATGGACTTCAGTTGCTCTCAAACTTCTGGTGCCTCACTTGGGAGCTTGTCAAAATGCTGATGCTCAGGTCCCACCCTCACAGAGTCTGAGTCAGCAGGTGGAGGGTGGGGTCCAGGGACTCCAGGCTTTGGAGACAGTCACGCAGGTGGTTATCAGACCGCACTTTGGGGTACACCAGGCCTCTGAGCTCTCGGGGGATGAGCAGTGGGACTGGGCTCAAGGTGGGCTTCTGATGGCCAGTCTGGGACTCTCCCCCAATGCCAGGCTGTCCTGTCAGTGCACAGGTCCATTGTCTTTTGGAACTGGGCATACGGGAAGATCCGCACACACATGCCTCACCTCCAGCTCTGGCCTTGACACCGTAGAGGGCTAGTGTGGCTGAAGCCAGGTCAGGCAGAAAGGTGGTGCTGGCTTTTCTCACAATGACCCTGTGTCTTGTCTGGTTGACTTTAGAATGTAGTTGGATCTTCATCACTTTGGTGGGCTTAGATGAAGGGCAGCTACTTGCTTTCCCCAAACGTACACCAAAGGGTCATCTCCATGTGGAATTTGGAGATGCCAACTTGGACCTGCTGGCAGGGAAGGACTTTATACCGGTTCTGCTACAGGGGGGCAGGGCCATGCCTTGGGGTCCAGGCTGAGTGAGGATGAGCCTGTGTGTCTTCCCATCCCTGACCACTCCTTTCTCCCCTGTAGTGGACGACGGACTGCAGCGAGCAGCTGGACAGCAGCTGTTCCTTCTCCCGAGGGCGAGCACCCCCACAGCAGGTAGGGAACCAGCTCTGTGCCCCCTCTGGGGGTTGTCATGTGTCTTGTCTGTCTGTGTTCCTGAGAGGTGGTGATGCGGAGAAAGCAAGAAATGGGAGAGGGGAGGGCACAGTCTGCCCTCTGGAAAGTTCTCCCTGAATACACAGCCCACAGTGAAGCCCCTCCCCACAAACACATAGATTCATAAGATTTCTTTTCATTAGCGGCATTATTTATAATAACAAACAATTGCAAGCAATCAAATGTCCATTGAGAGGAGAATGGATAAATATGTGCTATATCCTCACAGTGGAATGTTATTTAGCAGTAAAATGAATGAATTGGAGGTTCACACATCAGCGTTGATGATGGATCCCACAAACAATGGGGCTCCTAGGGTTTTGGTGCTGGTGGGTCACTTTGGAGATCACTCCTGCCCCAGGTTTGCAGAGAACCTAGAGGGACGGACTGAGGGGTGAGGTATCAGAGATTCATCCATTTCTCCCAGCCAACCAGCTGTGCTGGGACCAGGCTGAAGCCAGTTGCTTCTCCCCCTGTCGCTTGCCTGTGAGATCCCCAGGGCTCCCCGTGTGAGTCGTGTGGCCGGGAGGGAAGGAGGATGCTGCTCTTGGAGAGCTGTTTCTAGTGACCCCTAGGCTTTCTCCAGTTGTCCAGCTGTTCTTGCTGATACCTCATCCTTCCCTGTGGGAGACAGTGGGATTAGAGGCTAAAAAAACATTTATCTCCACCCGCCAATGCAGCCTCACTGTCCCTGTCCAGGGAGCTGAGGGGAGCTTTCACAGGCTCCTGCAATAACTTGGTCCTGGCTTTGGAGAGCCAGCTTTCGCAGGCTCCTGCAAGGTGGTATAGGGGTTGAGAGGGAAGGCTGCTTGGCCTGAGTCTTGCTTTAGTTCACCCTGGTGCAGGGTGAAGCCGCTCAGAGCTCAGGACAGCTCAGCAGGCCAGAGAGGTCAGGTGTTTCAGAAAGGACCTCTTGTAGCTTCCTCAGCCAGGAAATGTTTGCAGGGGCCCGGTGCTGTGCTCTGGAGGGCCTGGAGGATGGCTCCTGCCTTCAGGGGCCTTACAACTTAGTTAGAAAGACAAGATAGTGTATAAAAGAATGCCCAATGCAGGGCAGGAGATGGAATTGTCTGAAGGGTGGCCCGGACCTCAAGGGGCTCACAATTAAAAAGCCTGGGCAGCCCCGAGCAGAAGAGGTAGGACTGAGCTGGACCTCGTAGGTGGAAGGCCGAGGTTGGGACCTGCATGCTGCACACCATACTATGCAGAGAGGCAGGAGCAGGATTGAAACGAGGTCTCCTGAGGTCAGGAGAACTTTGATTCAGTAACAAAAGGCCTGATATTTAGACATTAGCGACTCGATTAATCAGTGTACAAACAATAGATGTAAACGAGACAGAAGGGTTTTTCTCTCTCAGTACAGCATGGGTGGTTTTTCAGGGCTGGCGTGTCAGCTCAGTGGTGTCAGGGCAAGCTCCTTCCTTCTCATTGCTCTGTTCTGTCTAGGGCGTTGCCTAGACAGATGGCTCATGTTCCGATTGGAATAGTACCACCCTGGACCTCTGAGCTCCCCTCATGAGGCAGCCATCTTCTGATGCCCCCTGTTGGAGGGATCAAACTGGTCAGCATTTCTTGAGAGACTGCCTCACAAGGAAAACCCTCATGTAATTGGCTGGTGGCAGCTGCCCCTGCCCAAGGTGTCCTGGAGCAGCTCCCTGATGGAGGGGAGAACCAGGGAGCTTCCCATTGAAAAGCGCCTTTGCTGGTCAGTGCAGGTCTGATGGAATGCTGCTGACTCATCCATCCAAAGCTCCCTTCAACCTGGCTCACCAGATATAGATAGGCTCAGTGGACCAGCTCCTGGGAACACCTCCCAGCCCCATGAGACACCTACTAGCCTCCTCGCTACACCCTCTCATCCAGGCAGACTCTCTCCCTAATTCATAGTATGATCGAGCTGTTCCCTATACATCTGCCTCTCCCCTCAGCTGGCTGATCAACCCAAAGATGGGAGGAGTTAGGGCTGGCTCTATTTCACTGACTGCCCCTGGCCGAGGGCCTTGCATACAGTAGGTGCTCATAATGATGCCTGAGTTGGCCCAAGCCAGTGCGTGCAGACAGTCCCTAGTGGGCCCTGTGTCTCCAGCCACACGAACTGTGCTGAGCTTTCTGAGGTCATGGGGATGATGGGACAGCTCTACTCCCTCACATTCACTCATAGGGAAGAATTAGTTTCAGGGGGAAACTGAAGCTAAATTGAGACTGGAGGAGCTGGCTGCTCTAGCGCTCCCCCTGACTGCACCCACCTTGGCCACATGTGCCCAGGAAAGTGGGGTGGCCAGAGGATGCTGAGGTGCTGCCTTCTGCCCAGGAAGCTCTGTGTGGTGCGTCACAGACCCATGCCCTGAATGAGGGCCCCAGACGCAGGTGCCATCTGAAGACGAGTCATACATTAGGATTACTGATTTTGTCATTTCAACTAACATTAAAAAAAAAAAAAAAAAAAAACCAGCCCAAACTTGCCTCCTCTGAAACCTTTCTGAAGCCAAGTGGGAGCAACCTAGAGTAGATTGAGTCCCATGAGATGGGAGGAAGGGAGCTCAGAGGGTCCAGGGCAAAAAATGGGCTGCACGTGGTCCTGCGGAGGCCTGTCCAACTGCTGGCAGTTGGGATCCGGTTGTGTTGGGGACTCTGGCACCCTGGCAGCCTCTTCCCAAGGGAGCTTGCTCATCGCCTCGTCATCTAGTTAGGAGGTTGGAATACAGTTTCCACCTTATCATCATATTGGGGGAATGCATGGAGTTGATTTAGAGGAAACATCTGAAGCGAGCGTAATCCCGTGCAGTTAGAAAACATTTCAAGATCCCAGCTTGGGGTTTAGCATTCAGGGAAGAAAGCCGAAGGCATATAAAGGTCATGTGAGGTCAGGAGTGAGTAGCTCTTCTCCATCTTCACAGAAGAGCCAAAGAAAGGAAATTAATGTGCACAGCAGCAGCAGGGCCCGTGATTAGACCTTGAGAAGGACTCCCTGACTGGAGGATTTGTTGGCTGGTGGTGATGACTGTTGAGCAAGGTAATGAAAGCTTGCTGCGAACCTAATGAGCATACTTCGTTATCAGACAGGTTTCACACAAAGCCCTGGGAAAGGTGGGGGTGCGTCAGAAACGGTGTCTCAGAGTCCTGTGACGCCACATTCCCTGAAATGATGAGAGAAGGGCACTCCCCTGTTCCATCATGACGCCCAGTAGCAAATCAAAGCATCAGGAGAGAGTGAAAGAGCCTTGTCCCAACGATCAAGAGAACCAGATGGTGGCCCAGGCGTGGCACAGATTCCAAGGCCTCTCTGCAGAATGAGGCGTCGGGCTACACAGACCTTCTCTGAGCCTCTCCAGAAATCTCTTTCATTGTTTACATTCTGTGTCCCCATGAAATGACCAACTGGATCCAAATAGCTGCTAAAAGCAGCAGCAGGGCTGGATTTTCTAGATTTCTCCAGCGTTCCTGACCCACCCTGATAACTTGTACCAACCTGCAGGCGAGGTATATCCTGGGCACCAACACTGACTCTGACCTAGATGATGACAGGTGGTAAGCAGAGGTGAACCTCAGTTTTCTGCCAGCCAACTCATTGCCCTTCAGTAATTATACCGTTGGTTCAGTGCCAATTTAAAAACTCATTAGTACAATTGATATCTTAGGAAAAGTGCCTAGATTTTTAATCAGCTTCTATGGATACTTGAGGAATATCATGTATGTATTTATGACACTGCATGCTATTCAGTCAGTATATAGTGAGCAACTGCTGCGAGCTTGGCAGACACATATTCACCAGAGCCTTCCAGATCACAGCCCACTTGCAGAGTAGAGGCTAGTTAACATGACACAGGCTAAAGGCACACATGTTAAACCCCCAGAGAGACGTCCTGATCACAGGTACTGCAGTCATTCCAGAGTGGCCGTGCTGGTCTCTACAGGTAGGGAAGTGTCATGCAGGACCCGAGACTTGAACTATGCCTTACGGAACAGGTAGGATGTATGACCAAATGGAGAGGAAAATAGAAGAAATGAGAGAAGAAATGGTGTCGGCAAAGGCTTGAGGTCGGGCGTAACGTTGGGATGTTAGGACAGCAGGGGAAAGCACAGCAGAGGAGACGGTCAGTGTTGGGTGTTGCTACAGTGGTGAGGGATGAAGACGGCGGACGTGGAGGTGTCTGTGTGCCCAGCCGAGATGCCGGAGCGGCCGTCCAGCCCCACTGCTGTTTGTGCGCCTTGTGTTCCCAACTTGGTGGAGCAGTTGCTGTTTTGACCAGTTACCATGACAGAGGGAAAAGAACACCGATGGGTCTCACTTTGGCAATTCGGTGCTCCAACCTAGATGTGACACGTATCACTTCTACTCTGGACTCGTTGTCCAGAACTAGTCACACGGCCTCACCCGACCATAAGCACACTAAGAACTATAATCCTACTAGGTGCCTGGAATGGAGGAAACCAGAACTGTTTCATGACTGGCTAGATGACTGTCACATGCCCTGCCTCTAGTAGAGGTTCACCAGAGGCTGGGGCTGACCTCTTCCTCCCCACAGCAATTCCAGAACTAAGTTGGTCTCCAGTGAGCCCTGAGGATCTTGTGGGCTCTCAGGATGCCAAGCAGCTCAGAGGTTGGTCACCTGATCCAACCCCATCCACTGCTTCGAAAGACATCTCATTGTTAGGCAGCTCCATTAACAAAAATGTCTTTCTTGGATTTAGTCCCAAACCACCTTCTCATAACTCCTTTCGCCCATGGCTCTTTAGTCTCTCCCCCAGCGGTCCACCATGGCAAGTCTGCCTTTTAATCTAAATATTCTCATTCCTGCAGCTGTTTCACTTTGTTATAGTTAGCTCATTCCTTTGCTATCTATTCATCTATCTATCATCTATCTATCTATCTATCTATCTATCTATCTATCTATCTATCTATTTATTTATAAGCCATTGATCCAATCAGCAAGCCATCA